GTGAGTGGCTGCACCTGAAGGTTGGATGTGGTGAAGAGTATAAAGCCGGCTCTCTCAGGCCGTTCAGCCTCTCTGGGCAGCTTCCACTGGTCTGTTGGGTTATTTAGGTTTTTGCACACTTTTTAAACACACTGCATACATTAAACAGCATCACTGACACTTTCACACTGCTACACGCTTCGCTACATAAACAGAGGGACTGGATTCAGTTTGTCTGTTGCCAGTTTGAGTCACAGTCAAAGCAATAAAAATGAAAGTGAAACAAAAGAAGTCACTCTGGAAAACACCTGAGACTAAACTGAAATGAAAACAAGAAAACAAAAATGAATCAAATAAACAAACAAACTAAAATAAAACACAAAAACTAGAAAAACTCTGATCTTTAACGACGGTCAGCGGGGGCACAGCTGGGTTTAGTTCCTTTACATTCAAGCCCCAAGTCCAAATCATTTTTCCTGTTTTTCTGTCCCACTTTAGGTTCTTGAAATATTTTAGCTGTGGTCTCTGCAGCGACTCACGGCCGTATCAAACTAAACACACAGGCGTCTCCACTGGAGCTCCAAGCTAACAAAAGAAAAAGGTGGATAATATAATGAGAGATGGAGGACAGAAGAGCCTACATCTTCACCGAGTGTAGAAGGAGCCTCGTTTATCCTCGCAGACTGTTATCTAAGAACACCATTTATTCACAGAGAGCTGCTTCCATGTTTGAACCCACACATCAAGAAAGATGTGGAGTCGCAGGCCGAGAGCAGAGACGATGGCACGACGTTTCTCAGCCTAGTCGTGAAGCCTTTAACTTTTATTTACTTGAAGCGTCTTCAGGATCAAAGATCATTAACTTCCTTTTGTTTAATCAATGAGGATAAAACCTTTAAAAAGCTCAACAGTAAAGAGTCATCGCTTTCTATCCGGCTGTATTTGCTCCACACTGTCAAAAGCTTACATTTGTATTTGTATCTGATTAAAACAAAGGCGTGGGAAGCACGTTAGAGTTTATGTGACCCTCTGATCCAGAACTCGTCGCCTGTCCCATCAGGGGGTGACAGCTGTTAATGAAGAATCAGCCTCAACAAGCAAACTGTGAGCGGATGAAAGAGAAGCTCTGACCACATGAAGGCAGAAAGCTTCAGATTAAAGAGTTTCAGAGTTCAGACATTCAGCGGGAGGAAGAACAACAAGCAGGACGTGGAGAAGAGTTCAGCAAGGAAACAGGAAGTCCACGAAACAAGGAGAGAGAAGCAAAGCCAGGCGCTGAAGAACAGGAAACAGGAAACAGAAGCAACAGGAACAGAAGAAAATCTTTTCTCATTTTAATGTTTTATTGTTTAAAGTTTGAACATTTTAACAGTGTGATCGTGAATATGCCTCAAACTCAGTGTGCAGTAACACAAACTAACAGCCTTCTTATAGATTTATATTTTAAATGTCATTTTGTGGGACGTAGTTGTGTGTAAATGGTGGGTGTCATATTTAAAGATCTCTTCGGTTCACAGTGATACAGAAACGTTCGCATCACATTTGCAGGACATCGTTTCAGGTTTTTTCACATTTAGTTTGAATTCGGTGCCACAAACTTGGTTTTAGGGGACCCGGTAAGGTGGACATACACAAGTTAACCAGCAGGGAACTGCGTTTGGAGAAGAGCTGAGTTCACAATGACTTGATGTTTGTTTTAATGGATAAATTGCAGTTCAGAAGAATTTAAAGGACAAACAGCGATGACTCTTATCGATCTTTGCACTTCAAAGAGATCATTGCTCGTTGAAAGGTCACGTGACACAGCCCAGTGAATGACATCAGCTGAACGTTAAACTCTGTTACGTTTTTCCATCTCTGTGAATTATTCATCTTCCAGAAATGAATCACGAGAATGTCTCCAGCTGAGAACAGACCGTTTCTGTTTGTGCCTCCTGATATTACAGTAAACCTGTTTATTAATTTGACTGTATTCGTGACGCGGTTCTTCGTGGGGAGACTGACCGTCGTGTTTTCCGCTGTGACGCGATGAAAGGCCTCTGAACGTCCAGCAGAACAGTCACACTAACAGTCGCATCATTGATCCTGCAGTCGTTTTGATTCTATGATGAAAACATGTTCTGACCACACTGTAACCTCCGCTAACGCGCAGGGAGAGGCGGCCGAGCAAGGCACTAACACCCCCGGCCTGGCCCCCGCACGCTGACGGCCTCCTTACACCAGTGTGCGTGTTTTTGTCACGGTTTGGCTCGGAGGGTTGAGGGGCAGCTCCGTGTTTTTCCTGAACGTGGGCCCGGACTGCTCCGTACTGCGTTTGTTTGAGTCGTCGGGATTTTACCGGAGCCGTCGCCCGTTTCAGCACCACCCTCCCGGACAGCGCCCGGAGTCCGGCTCGGAGCTTTAGCGCGGATATTCAGCACCGGGGTTCCGGTGATCTTTATCCCCAAACACACCCAGACCTGCCACCACCCCATCCCCCACCTCCTTACCGAACATATGGATGTGTCCTTTGGTGATGGGGTTGAAGCTGCCGCAGGACAGCAGGATGACGTGGGTCTTCGTGCTCTCCGTCATGGTTCTCCTCGCTCTTCTTTAGTCCCGGTCCCGGTCTTGGTCCCGGTCCTGTCGCGTTCTGTGGAGCTCGCCTATAGAGGAGCAGCCGCAGCAGAGAGAGAGGGAGGGGGAGAGGAGGAGAGAGGGGGAGGGAGGGAGGGGAGAGAGAGAAGAGACATGAAGTAAGACAGAAGAGAGGGAGAGAGAGAGAACGGGGGGGGGGGGGGGGGGGGGGGGGGGCAGCGTCAGTGCGTTACAGACACCGCACCGCGTTCAGGGCACGCGCGCGGCGCGCGGGCTCAGTCGTTCCCTTAACGACCAGCAGCGCATCAGTCTGACCGGAGCCCTGACCGTCTACTGCGCATGCTCAGGAAGGTTCAAATTCCTTTGACCTTGTTATCGTCCCACGTTCAGGATCTTTGGTCCAAACCAGCGACGGACAAACGAAGCTTTGAATCGTAATTAAAAACAGTTCATTGCTATTTTAAACACAGGCCTCTGGTGACACCTGGTGGACAAATATATGAAGAGCAGCTTGAATCTGCCTCAGTGTGACTGTTCTCTCTGCCCACTGTTATGTCTATTTTTGTAATAAATCATTTTGATGATTAAACCTTCCTTCGTTAAACGTGTGTCATGGTTCTCCTTTCGCTTGTGACTTCTTGTTACTACTAACACCATGTTTGTGCTGTGAGGTCCCTGCTTCCAACTCATTATGCAATTAACCAGCGGACACATATGTTTATATAAAATACACTAAAACTTCTATAACTGTGCATTTCATTTGTGCATTTTACACCTGGGAGCAGAATTACTGATGAACTGGTTTTTATTTAGGAACAGGCAGAGCGTCTGGCTCCATGTCTCTGATCACCGATTCACTATCTCTCGCACAGAATCACCAAAACACAGCAAAACCCCACCAATGACTCACTTCCTTATAAACCATTAAATCAGGCACTGAAGCAGCCACGTGCTGAATGTCACTGATCACGTGACTATGTTCAGATGAACCATGCCTCGGCCATGTTTCTGAAGCAGCGCTTTGATGTTTTTAAACTTCAGCTTCAAACATTTATTTATCAACACGTTCAGTTCCAAATATTAAAAACATTGTTTTTAATACTCAGATTTGTCAGAGTTCAGACCTGAGTGGGCTGAAACAAAAGTTTTTCCACAGCAGTCCAGAAAATTCTGAATACCTCAGCTGGAAATCCCAGAAATGATGGATAGTCAGTTTAAATGCTTCCCATCAGGAGAGGACCAGAACATCTGTGCTGGGAGGAAGTGTCTGTGAGGCAGTTCTTTATTTTAAGCCCCTCAGGTGACATGTTCTCTGGATGAGAAGCCTCTCTCTCTGTGTGTGTGTGTGTGTGTGTGTGTGTGTGTGTGTGTGTGTGTGTGTGTGTGCTGAGGCCGAACCTGTTTGTGGAACTGTGTCCACATCTGAGAGAAAATCCACCCACGGACTCATCAGGTGTTTGCTCCTCCTTCCACTCCTGGTTTTTCTTGGACCGTCATAACATAGTGCATTATGGGACATAAAGTGGTCGCCATGGTGGCCTGCTGCATTATAAACTGTCACAACCGCACACTTGACCAGAAGGGGACCCCCAGGGAAACGGCGTCAGGTTTTTCCAGTTTCCCATGTGGCAGCAGCAACAGGGACCCAAGATCTCTGAGCTCACGAGGAGGTGGCGTACGGCCTGGGTGGAGCTGTGAGGTGGAGAAGCCTCACCTTCAGAGACATCTTCATAAACATGTTGGTGCGCTCGCAGCACTTTCACGCCGGTGAGGCAGATTAAAATTAGTCTAGAATCTAGTAATCATCCGGGCCGCAGCCCGCCTATTGGTGACCTCAGCTAAAATGCATTTACGACTCCCTGATAGGTCAGCAGGCGATATCCTTCACTTCCATTGGTAGTTATTTGCTTTACTCACCTGAGACTTGAGAGCGGTTTAACTCTGCACTCGTACACCTGCTGCTGCTTCAGTCATGAATTTGACCAACGGTCTGTAGTCGTTGCGTGGCTTCAGATCGCAGCTCTGGGATGACTGATGGATGCCTCATGGTCCTCGCACTTCTCACCTGATGCGCTCCCTTTGGAAACTCTTCATCTGAAAACTGGGTGGTAGCCCGAGACCCGACCATCATCAGCTCTCATCGCTGGATGAGCCACTGCAGGAAGTTCAGCTGGTCTGAAACAGAAGTTTGACGTCCGTTGTGAAACACACACACACACACACACACACACACACACACACACACACACAACACACACACACACACACACACACACACACACACACACACATCCGGAGGTGCAGGAGAGGAATCGGCCTGTGGCTTGTGACTTGAGGTGTCTATCACACATATACCCCCCACACACACAGCACACACACACACACCGCACACACCACACACACACACACACACACACACACACTAAGGAGCAGTGACAGAAATGTTATCAGGTTTCTTTGACAAAAGAAATTTTATTTCTACAGGTTCATCTACAGCAGTGAGTGAAACAGTGAAAAGACTGTAATCATAAAATAGACAAAAATATAAACTAAGCAAAAAAAAATAAATTCTACTAAAACTGACCAAACTCAGGAAGTGTTTTCATGGAGAAACACTGATGTAAAAAAAGACTCTTTGGAAAGATATACTTAAAATAATGAGAAAACTATTGTAATACTAGACACTACACTAATGGTGCGGGAGCTGGAACACTTCCTGTAAATCCAGCCGCACAAAGAAAGAGAAACGTGACGCATAAACATGCAAACAAAGACAAAGTAAGATGGAACCTCTGCTCAGCTCAAGCCAGTTTTATCAATAGAGCAAGTTCCAGTGTTGGGGAGTAATGGAAGACATTTAAAATACAAAATGTGAGTAACTGTATTCTGTTACAGTTACCGTTTAAAAAGGTGATAATTAGAAAACCGTTACTTTGTTGAAATAAATACATATGATACATACATATGTTTCATATGTTCGGCTGTCCCCTCTCTAATTTTTAAACGCATTGTCAGAAACCCAAACAAACACACAATAAAGGCTCTGATGCAAGCGTCCTGTTAATGTTGGTGGCATCAGTTACACAATGGACCTGGAGCCAGCACAACAGAACCAACAGTGCACAGGTAGGAATACATTTATTACTTGGAATTTCCAACAATACTTCATATTTAAAGAAGAAAGGGATGAAATCTGACCGTGCAATGAAAACTGTTTGTCAGCAACCAAGCTGCTCTCAGCATCAAAAGACTCCAACGTAACGAAACATCTGGAAGTAAGCTCTTTTTTTAAAACTAACATTAGCCTACTGCAGCTACCTTGTTTTAGTTGTGGTAGCTACCTGGGTTATGTGCCACTTCAGTATCTTCGATTTTACTACTGCTGTGTGATTTAGTACTATTAGACTGCAGACTGCTAGACTTGGTGGAAAGCATTAACAGCCTGCTAGGTGCAAATAATCATGTGCAGTTCCTAAAGCAGTCTATGAACTAACCTCAGCTAACGCCAGCTAACAATATTAGCTCAGTGGCAAGTAGCCTTCAGTAATAGTAATAAATCACACAGTACATCCATTTAGTTGTAAAAACCATGACAATATATCAAGTAATCTAAAGTATTCAGAACATGTTACTGGCATTAAGTAATTTAATGAAATAAGTTACAAACTACATTTTGGGGCATGTATTATGTAATCTGTAGTGGAATACATTCTAAAAGTAACCTTCCAACACTGCCAAGTTCACAATAACAGTCATCTCAAAGTGCTTTATGGGTAAGGTTCACATCCCAGAATGAGGTCTGCAGTGACCTGCGGTGACGAGAAAAAGAAGAGAGATAGGAAAAAGTAAAAGCCTTAACATGTTGTAACATTAACTTCTTTTTCTCATGTTTACATCATGAGAACAGCACAAAAGTGAACAAAAGAGGAGACGAAAGGCAGCATTTTTCAAAATATGCAACGTGTTTCTGTAAAAATCAAAACTTACAGACCGGACAAATCTGACAGCCTCACTGTCGGATCAAATCATGATTCATTTGATCCATCGAGTACTTTGTCACATGCAATAAACTACAGAGCTCTGAGATCTGAAAGTTCCTCTGTTAACCTCTTTTATTTTCCTAAGCGTCACTTGAAGATAATCCCACAGAGATGTTTCAGGACGACGATGTCTCGCCTGTGTGAGTTCGCATGTGGCGCCACAAATGACTGCTTTGAACAAAGCTTTTCTCACACATTTGGCAAGAATACCGCTTCTCACCTGTGTGAGATCTCATGTGGGAAGTCAAATGATGCCTTTGACTGAAAGTTTTGTCACATGTTTTACACGAGTATGGCTTCTCACCCGTGTGAGTTCTTACGTGTACAGTCAAGTGACCACTGCGACTGAATGTTTTCCCACATATTTCACAGGAATACGGTTTCTCACCTGTATGAACCGAGGTGTGACTTTTAAAGGTCGATAAGACAGAAAATGCTTTCCCACAGATGTTACAAACATACGGTTTTTCACCTGTGTGAGTTCTCATGTGACACTTTAACGTTGACGCGTCAATAAATCTTTTCTCACATACCTCGCAGGGATAAGGTTTCTCACCTGTGTGAATTCTCACGTGGGTGGTCAAGTGCACTTTTCGAATGAAACGCTTCCCACATGTTTCACAAGAATAGGGTTTCTTACCGGTGTGAATTATCATGTGAAATTTGAGCCTTGATGCATTTATAAACGTTTTCCCACACGTGTAACAGGGATAAGGTTTCTCACCTGTGTGCGTTTTCAGGTGGGCATTAAAGTGGCCCCTTCTATTGAAACCTTTCCCGCAGGTTTCACAAGAAAACATCTTCTTACTTGCATGAGTTCTCATGTGGGCATTAAAATTACCAACTCGATTGAAACTTTTCCCACATGTTTCACATGTGTATGGTTTCTCACCTGTGTGAATTCTCACGTGGTCCACCAAATTGCATCGATGATTAAAACCTTTCCCGCACGTTTCACAAGCATAGGGCTTCTTACCCGTGTGGTTTCTCATGTGGGCATTAAAATTACCAACTCTGTTGAAACTTTTCCCGCATGTTTCACATGTGTATGGCTTTTCACCAGTGTGAATTCTCATGTGGTCCACCAAGTTACACCTGTGAGCGAAACCTTTCCCACATATTTTGCAACAGTATCTTTTGTCAACTGTCTGAATTCTTTCAAGATATTTCATTGTGTAAATACGATAGTACTTCTTCCCATTCTCAGCGTCAGGAGGGCTCAGAGGGGAGAGCAGAACATTGTTTGGTCCTGCTTCACTGCAGCCATCTTCCTCGTGAACAGGAGTCACCGTAAAGGTATCAGTCTCCTCCTTCAGCACGACCTGCTCTCCGTCCTGACTGGTGCATGGTTCCTTCCCTTCTTCTTTAATCTGTGAAGATTCTGGGTCCTCTAGGCTGGTGCTAACTTCTTCCTCCTCCTCTTTTATCTGTGGAGGTTGGGGGTTCTCCTGACTGGTGCAGAGTTCCTCCTGTTCCTCTTTAATCCGTGGTTGCTGTGGTTCATCCTGGTCCACACCTGAGGGTCTCTCCTGGTCAGTAAGAATCTCCTCCTCTCCATTTTCACGTTGCTGTGGGAGGTCTGGAGGAACAAAGGCAATACGTTACTACACAAATGAAATCTGAAGTGTGCCAAATAATTTGGGCGACACATTTTCAGTCAGAGCAGACCTCAAAGCGGCTAACGGCAGATCAAAAGTTAGCTCACTTCCTAACTTCATTACAGAGCATAAACCATCAGAGAGGAGTGTTTTATCTCGCTGATCTTTTGGAGAGAAAAAGGCTGAAGCAGCATGAGTCTGTTACACTGCCATAAATTCAACGTGCAGTTAGTCATCACTATTGCTTACAGGCAAACACTCTGTCACTTTACTCATAGATGCCCGTTTGTTTCCTGTCATTTTTGTCCATAGGACAAACAACAATGTATTTTAAGCATCAGTAAGCGAAACCTTTGTGGTGGTGAGAATAAGGAACGGCGGGACCACGGAATATCATTTTGAGCCATTTTTATTCACACTCACCACAACAACAACCACACACACCTGAGTCCCCGTGTTTTAACCCGGCGGGCGTGATTACGGGTGCCGTGCAGGTGCGTCTGCCCTCCCTGCACGGCACCGCAGACCACGTCCCACCACACCTTATTTTACCAAACTGTGCAACAATGTTTTTATCAGAAATCTGGTGAGTTTTCTTCGGTGGAAGGCCAAAACCAGCATTTCTGAAGTTCTCCCTGACAGTGAGACGTCCTCTCTAATAAAACCATCATCTCACAGTGACGTATCAATTCCAGATCCGAATCTCCAAGTTAATTAAGTGTGCTGATGCAACAGCTCACTTCTAAATTTTGAAGCAAAACGCCTCGCAGCCTGTTATATTATTGTGTGAGGCTTGATGGGGAATAGTGTGCTATGACTTTCGGTGGTGATTCGTCACATGATTTTCACAAAATTCAAAAAACAGAATTTTTCCCGATTCATTTGAATTTGAGAGTGTCTGAAAAAAAGGGGCACCAATTTTTATCTAGAATTTGACTTTTCAAGGAATTTTGTTGCCACTGGATGATGTCATCACCTGCTCTAAAAACTGAGTCTGGAGAACAAAGTGGAAGAAATGTCTTTCTCTTTATTTCACGCCCAAAACTTTTGCCCTACACGGACCATATGTGCAGGTCCTTCTCAAAAAATTAGCATATTGTGATAAAGTTCATTATTTTTTGTAATGTACTGATAAACATTAGACTTTCATATATTTTAGATTCATTACACACAACTGAAGTAGTTCAAGCCTTTCATCGTTTTAATATTGATGATTCTGGTATACAGCTCATGAAAACCCAAAATTCCTATCTCAAAAAATGAGCATATCATGAAAAGGTTCTCTAAACGAGCTATTAACCTAATCACCTGAACCAACAAACAAACTCTAAACACCTGCAAAAGATCCCTGAGGCTTTTAAAAACTCCCAGCCTGGTTCATTACTCAAAACCGCAATCATGGGTAAGACTGCCGACCTGACTGCTGTCCAGAAGGCCATCATTGACACCCTCAAGCAAGAGGGTAAGACACAGAAAGAAATTGCTGTTCCTAGAGTGCTGTATCAAGGCACCTCAGTGGGAAGTCTGTGGGAAGGAAAAAGTGTGGCAGAAAAGGCTGCACAACGAGAAGAGGTGACCCTGAGGAAGATTGTGGAGAAGGACCGATTCCAGACCTTGGGGGACCTGCGGAAGCAGTGGACTGAGTCTGGAGTAGAAACATCCAGAGCCACCGTGTACAGGCGTGTGCAGGAAATGGGCTACAGGTGCGGCATTTGAACCAGAAACAGCGGCAGAAGCGCCTGACCTGGGCTACAGAGAAGCAGCGCTGCACTGTTGCTCAGTGGTCCAAAGTACTGTTTCGAATGGAAGCAACTTTTGCATGTCATTCGGAAATCAAGGTGCCAGAGTCCGGAGGAAGACTGGGGCGAGGGAAATGCCAAAATGCCTGAAGTCCAGTGTCAAGTACCCACAGTCAGTGATGGTCTGGGTGCCATGTCAGCTGCTGGTGTTGGTCCACTGTGTTTTATCAAGGGCAGGGTCAATGCAGCTATCAGGAGATTTTGGAGCACTTCATGCTTCCATCTGCTGAAAAGCTTTATAGAGATGAAGATTTCATTTTTCAGCACGACCCGGCACCTGCTCACAGTGCCAGAACCCCTGGTAACTGGTTTACTGACCATGGTATTACTGTGCTCAGTTGGCCTGCCAGCTCTCCTGACCTGAACCCCATAGAGAATCTGTGGGATATTGTGAAGAGAAAGTTGAGAGACGCAAGTCCCAACGCTCTGGATGAGCTTAAGGCCGCTATCGAAGCATCCTGGGCCTCCATAACACCTCAGCAGTGCCACAGGCTGGTTGCCTCCATGCCACGCCGCATTGAAGCAGTCATCTCTGCAAAAGGATTCCCGACCAAGTATTGAGTGTATAACTGAACATAATTATTTGAAGGTTGACTTTTTTTGTATTAAAAACACTTTTCTTTTATTGGTCGGATGAAATATGCTAATTTTTTGAGATAGGACTTTTGGGTTTTCATGAGCTGCATGCCAAAACCATCAATATTAAAACAATGAAAGGCTTGAACTACTTCAGTTGTGTGTAATGAATCTAAAATATATGAAAGTCTAATGTTTATCAGTACATTACAGAAAATAAGGAACTTTATCACAATATGCTAAATTTTTTAGAAGGACCTGTACATCACAGGATAGCCACTGTATTCCTCTTTCAATCATTCTCATTGAGATGGGAAGTTGCTGCTGCTCACAGTGAAATTATTTTTCCAATAAAATTTGTTGCAGAGCCACATTTCTGTTTGCCAGGCTCATTCTAGGTCTGACGCTGAGGTACAGCTGTGTGTGTCTTATGTTCTAGGTTTAGTCATATAACTCATATCAATATCAGCACCTTTGATGTTTTTAAGTAGCTACATATAAAGAGACTTTGTGTTAATTACAGATGTTCAGGGGATCCGTTTGCCATCAACCAAGACAGGAAACTTCTTAGGAAAATTAAAATTGAACTTACTTATTATTTAAATGATTATTTATGTTTTGTTTGTTTTTATAAATAATGAATAAATACGAATTTTTTCCTGGGGGCCCAACAGACTCTACAATCATTACTGGAGGTTTTTGGTTTTAAATAACTACTCTCGCCACAAGGGGGCAGTAATGCAAAATTCCTTTTACTTTTAAAGCCCTTCAGGCCCTCAGAATAACAAATATTAACCTGGAAATTAGCATTTTAATACCTGGGGGAATTTTTCCTGTCACTGCTTACAGATCTCTACTGAAACTCAAACACCTATTACTGGTTCCACCTATTTCCTGACCAGGCTCCGGATCACGGGGGCCTCCCTCTTCCCAGCCAGCTTCTCCAACTCATTCCAAGCCATCTCAGACGTAATCTCTCCAGTGTGCCCCAAGTCTGCCCTGGAGGCTTCTCCTGGTAGAACATGCCTGGAACACCTCACCCAGGAGCCATCCTGGCCAGATGCCCGAATATCTCCACTTGCTCCTTGAGGAGCTCTGAGACGCTCCTGAATAACCAAGCTCCTCACGCTCCCTCTGACGCCGAGTCCAGACACCGTTTGGACGACACTCGTTTTCTCCGCCTTCATCTGTGATCTCACTCACTCAGTTTCTGCCCACAGCTCATGAATATCAAACAATAACAGATGTACTAAGCTGTGGTCTACACTCACTCATTAACACTAATCTCTAATCAGCCAATGACATGGCAGCAGCTCAGTGTATTTATGCATGTAGAGATGGTGACGACAATCAGCCGGGGGTCAAACTGAGCATCAGAAAATTGAGGAAGAAAAGTGATTTAAGAAACTTTTAGTGTCCTATTTCAGAAACTGCTGATTGGCTGGTTTTTCCCACACAGACATCTCAGAGTTTACAAAGAAGTAGGGCAGGGCGATATGACCAAAAATACTTACAACGATGTACATTTGAAAATTTGCGATAACGATATAACTGACGATATAATTGATGCGAGACAAAATACTGTACAACTCCACAACTTTACTAGTGCAAAAAAACCCCCATGAATGTATTTTCACGTAAACAAGCAGCTGTTTTATGTGCATATATAACATTTTAACAGTGCAAATGCAAATTCCTTGCTGACAGTTTAACCAAAAGGCAAATGGACTGACATATGCTGAGCATAACCATGTATAATAACCACCAAAGGTAAAAAGAGGAGCTTTGAAACATGGAACTGCAGTAAAAAACAGTCAGATACATCTAACTTTACTCAACTCATTCTTCACTTTTGTACCATTGACTCATAATGCTGAATTCTCTCACAGCTGCTCTGTTCCCATGTTCTACTGCATGACCGAGAGCCTTCAGTTTAAAATCCGCTTCATGCGCACGTCTCTTAACAGCTGCCATTTTGGGTCCTTATACACAAACAATACGGTAACGTCATGTTGAAGCACGGTATGTATCACTCCGCGAGGCTCAGCCTACGATAGCCGTAATGCTCCGACAGTCCATCAAGCGGTGCGGCTTCGCAGCTTAGCAAAGTCGTACTGAAACATTTTTTGACAGACTTTTGAGTGCCGGACGAAAGCTAAACCAGCTCCACCACTGAAGTTGCAGCATTTTTACAAACCAGTTCTGGTTCATCCGTTTCATTCAACGATCTGCTTTCACCCTTCTCATTCTCCGTCACCGCCATGCTTTTTCTGCCATGTGTTTATGAAAACACTGCACATGCGCCTTTTCCTCATATTCTATCACGATATTTCATTTTCTTATCATTGCCTAACATTATACCGGTGTTACCGTGAACGGTATGATATGGCCCAGCCCTACAAAGGAGGTCTGAAAAAGAGAAACTATCCGGAGAGCAGCAGTTCTCTGAGAGGAAGTACCTTCTTTGTGTCAGAGGAGAACGGCAGAACTCTGAGACAGGACGACAGCAGTAACTAAAATCGCTGCTCGTCACATCCAAAGTGATCAGAAGAGCATCTCTGAATGGGCGGCATGCTAAAGCCTGAAGCAGAAGACCACAGCGGGTA